CTTTCCATCCTCACTCCTCCTGCTTAATCCACCATCCATCCATCCATCTCTATCTATGCATCTATCCAACCACCATTCCAAAAATGTTTATCGCAAGGCAACTGTGAGCCCAGTTCACAGTTCAGCCCGGGGATACAGTTCAGCCCCTTAGAAAATTCAGAAGTACTTCAAAACAGACGGCAGAGAAATCCAGGCTTCCACCCAAGCTACATGGGATCCCTGTGCTGAGGCTGAGGATACAGACCAGACATGGGCCTGGGTCACATCTGCTCAGTTATCACAGGTAACTGCCCTGCTCCCTGAGAAGGGCGACTTCTGATTAAACGATTGATAGTAACAACAGGTATGGGTACATCATCTCTGATCTGAAACCCCTGGGGTCGCATGTGCTTGGGAATGTGGAACCGTGAGAATTTTAGAGATGCACTGTGATACACAGGCACATATTACAGAATATCCCCAGAGGTACCTGAGATAATGATGTGATCAAGCACATCCACAGATCTCCAGTGAACTGTAAAGGAGGCACAGTAAACAGCTTCATCTCACATGGGGTCAGGTTTTAGTGCCGCAAGTTAGGTGAATGGACTGGGGGGAAAAAAAAACCTTTGGCTGCCAGAGCTCTGGAACAGGCTTCCTTTATCTCCAAGCTGGTACCCCAGTCTCTGGATGCAGAGTTGATGTTCAACTCTGGATCTAAGAACCTGGCATTCTCTTTCTGAGAAACCTAGTTTATTCACCACCACCATTACCAGTGGAGGGGGGCCGCCCACTATGGGATTCCATTAATTCGGGTGGAAAGCCCAATCATCCAGCCTAGGCTATGGAGATTTTTGGGTGATGGGTTTCAAAATGACAAAAGGACTCCCATTTCTCTCTGGCACAAGTTAAGGACTGCTAAGGGGTGCCTGGGTGGCTCGGTCAGTTAAGTGTCCGACCCTTGATTTCAGCTCAGGTCATGATCTCATGGTTTGCCAGTTCAAGCCCCACATCAGACTCTGTGCTGACAGCATGGTGTCTGCTTGAGATTCTCTCTCTCTCCCTCTCTCTCTGCCTTTTCCTTGATCGCATGCTCTCTCTCCGTCAAAATGAATAAATTTTTTAAAAATTATTAAAAGAAAAAAAGATAAGGACCGCTAAGCCAACAGGGTTGAACACCTGTCAGCGCACTGATAGCATCCGATCCCAGGATAAGGCTGCTGGGGGGTTGATCAGAGTGCTGCTAGCACAGGGGCATCGCAGAAAAACAGGGGCATATGCACTTCAGGAAGTAAGTAGCTCCTATCCAGAAATGCCCACACTAATGTCTGTCCTGAATAATGTCACTCATACCTCGGCAGCTCTCCAAGGCCAAAAATAACTGACCCAGTAAGTCTGATGCTCTTTATCAACTCTGACCCATCCGCCTATCCATGACACGGAAGAAGTTTCTCCCTTCTCCCGTCTCCCTAAGGTCTATATGACTCAAATGGTTTGCACTCACTCCTCTGCATAACCAACACGTGGGACATACCTCCCCAACTAGCTCTTAAGTACTGGACAGGAAGGTCCTGCTCTGTCCTCGGAGCCTAGCACAGAGCTCTCAAGAAGTAGCATCGAATGAGTGGACACTCACTCTCTCTGCTCAGCTGATGCCCTGCTTACCCCATGGCCCCGCTCGCTCTGAGTGGCAATGCTAGTTGTCTACAGTGCTTCTGAACCTTAGCTTTCTGCGAGTGCTTCTGTATTTCTAATTTCCAAGATTTTTTATGAGGACGCAATTAGAGTGTAATTAGACAAAGAGACAATCATTCAAAACGTGCTTTTAAAGCGGCAGTCGCCACAGCTGCGTATCTATCCACAGCAGGAGTGACGGGTCCCGCAAATTTGCTGGGCGTCTCCCTTTGTGACTACCTGCCTTCTGCCCCTATCACCTCACAACCCACGCCTTTCGTTAAGTGTCCCCTAAGTCATGTGCACGAATCGTCAGAAAAGGTGGGACTCACAGCTGCTTCCCGGGGTTGAGAGAGCCACGGTCTATCTCCCGGTCGAACTCGGTGCGGATGTCTTCGAGGGACCCGTCGTCCCCAAAGGCCCCCCACTCCGTGTTGATGCACATCCTGCCCTCGTCACCTTCCACCAGGTCAATGTGCCTCAGTTCCTCCATGTAGCACGCGTTGGTGCCAGTGCCTGGGAGAGAGAGACACGATCAGAAGGTGTGACCACCACAGAATCAGGAGACGAGGCCGTGCCCTCCGGACACACCAGCCGAAGGGACGGATGAGGAGGAGGTGACGTTACCAATGATGAGGCCGACTTCGCACTGCTGGTCGTCGTAGCCACAGGTCATCATGGTCCCCACCGTGTCGTTCACCACAGCCACAATGTTGGCATCGTAGTCCTGGGGACACATGAGGGGGTGTCACCGTCCACTCTCGCATGGGAGCGGAGGTCACCAACCTTCAAGAGAGCGTGGCAAGAGAGCTCCCGTTTCCACCCCTGCTCCTGGGAGTGGCGCCGCTCTCATTCCTGCCGGCACTCGAGTCGGCTGGATCAGAGCGCGGTAATTACATTAGGGAAACTGCACAGTCATCTTAATTACCTGGCTTAAGAGTCTTTCCAGAGCGGATCTTGCGCACAGAGCCACAGCCCTCTACAAAGCACCGCACCACATCCGTGCGCTGACTGCCCTCGTTCCGTGCGCACCGGCGGCACCCGACCGCGTCAGCTCCCCGCACGGCCCAGCGCTCCCCCCGCCCAAGGGCCTGGCTCCTTCGGGCGGCACTTCGGAGACCCCTGCTTTGAGCCACCCCAACCTTCCGGGCCGTGGACCCCCACCGTTCATCTGCCTGGGTCTTCGAGACACCCACGTGAGGCCTCAGGCCGTGCGCTCCTGCCCCGCGGAAGGGCCTGGTCTGTTTTAGATCACAGACTTCTCCCCACACTCCCCCACCTCCAGGCGGCCCCGAAAGTTACCCCGCGCTTTTTGATGGCTTTGTTAAGCAGCTTCACCACATCCATTCCCTCCACTCCGCTCGCTTTAAATTTCTTTGTCCAGGTGATCAGGATGGCCTGCAAAGGAGAGCAGATGGGGGTTGGACGAGGGCCGGGAGGCCTCCAGAACCCCCAGGTCCCCGGGGAGGCTGCTCAAGACTAGTGACAAGGCAGAGGCCCAGAGAGGACAAGCGGTTCAGCCAGACTCCATTTAAAAAGAGAACAAGAGAAATCCCGTCATTGCCTCCCCACCTGCAAGCCAGGTCCTGGCTTCCACAGCCCCAGGGAAAGAGAGGCAGAGCCAAGTTGGGCAGGAAAACAAAATGCCAAGATAATCCTTGGCTACTGAACTTCTAAAGCCAGGTCCTAGAGATTGCAGGGGAATAGCGACTAAATACGATGTATGCCTCGTCCCCGACTTGGGACTTTAACCCCCGTGTGGGAGCAGCAATACAATACGATCCATTTGTGCTTGTGGATTAATGGACAGACATCAAAAAGGAGAGACAGCCAGCGGTCATTCACTTGGGAATGGGGAAGGGTCAGAATTTTACTTTTTACTTTGTACCTTCATATTGTTTCAATAGCTTTACGTATTGCTCTCGTATTCTTTTTAATCCAAGATACTGAACAAAAGAATACTTGTTATACTTGAGTGTTGTTCTCTGAAAGGAGAAAGCTGCCATACACGCGGCAGGGCTGGGAAGACTTGTTACTGCTCAGGTCCCGTGGGCCCCTGGGGGCTGGGATGGGAGTTTGCCCATACACGGGCTGCCCCGGCTCATGGCGAAAGCCACGCGTTCTGTAAGGCGCACAGAAGGGTGCGTGTTTGGGAGAGTTTGTGGCTCTTTCCTTGGCAGCGGCCTGCTGCTAAGCCAGGCATTCCAAAAATCCCTGGACACTGCTTTCTTCCCCTCAATCCCAACCCCCAAGAGGCCTCCGAGAATGTTGTGGAAGGAATGCGGGGCTGGAAATCAGCAGGCGAGTCCTATTCTCACACCTCTGCCCGTTTCCTTGTGGGCAGCTCCCCGAATTCCTCTGAGAGTCACTTTGCTCACCTGTGGGACAAGGCAGCTGGTCTAGATCTGGACAATCTTGAAGATTCCAGGCATCCCTGAGGAGTGGGCAAGGCCCCCTGGATGGCTAATTAGTCTGCGGTCCGCCGGCTTCTTGGCAGGCAGCATGGCCCGGCCTAGGAAGCCCTCCCCGGATGGGGGTCAAGGCCTGTGGGTGGGGGCCCTGCCTCTAGCTCCTCTGCCTGCAAAGCCCCTCTACCGGGCTATCTGCCCTGCTCTGGGGGGCTCTCCTGCTCTGAGGATATTCTCTCCCCCTTCTGCCATGCCTTCTTCCCGGGAAGATTGCACCTTCTGGGGGGCAGGCCCCATCTGCTCCCCATTCTCTCCCAGCGCCTAGCCCGGATAGCACTTGGTCAATAGCCACCGGTGAACAAAGGAGCAAGCAAATGAGTCGCTTCTGAAGCCGTCCCCCACCTCTCACGGTGGGAGGGGATGTCAACACTGTCTCTGCCCAGGGGGCGTGACTGTCACATCTCTACTCTCAGAAGCAAAGGGAAACTTAGTACCAACAACAGGCTTTGAGAAAAGGTTTGCGAAGGCACCCTAGAAGCGAAAGTGACATGAACACCTTGGAGGTGTCGCGGGGCCAGATACCAGAGTCCAGAGTGGCCACCGCGGCCCTTTTGGAGACAGGAGGACAGTAGTGTTTCGAGGTCTTTAACTGGGGGGAGCGGTCGGGGGAGCAGGGACTAGGTGAGGGGGTGCCCAGGGATTCTGGTCCTAGATCTGCCATTAATAAGACCTGTGACCTTGGGAGGCTTCCTTTCCCATCTGAGGAAGGAGGGGCTTGGCCTGCTGAGCTCTCAAGCCCCTTCTCGCTCTAGCGTGACATAATTACACAAATCAGACAGACGGAAGGGCTCCAGGAGCATGACGCGGTGCCCAGGACAGGGCACTGACCCGAAGAGGCACAGGGGAGCTGCCCAGGAGTGCAGAGGGCACCACAATGTTACCATCCTGCACAGGCTCTGGAGCCACACTAGTGGCTCCCCACAGCTAGCTCTGCCCACAGCTGGTCTGGGCTCTGCTCCCTCCTGGCTGGGTGGTCTTGGGCAGGTTCCTAATCCCTCCACGCCTCAGTTTCCTCAATCTGTAAACCGGGAACCATAAGCACTTCACTCACGGGGTGTCTGAAGATCACGTGTGTTAACTGTGACGTGCGCCTCAGGACGGAGCCTGGTACCCGATGGCCCCTCTGGAATGTCAACCATCGGGGTCCCTGTTATAGGAGTCTGTTCACAGGTTGCCTGTGTGTGTGTTTTGTCTCTCCATGAAGAAAAGGCACAAGGTCGCATCTACTTATTTTGTATCCCGGCAGTATGCTGAGGTACAATGGGGCCACGGAGTTATGCCGGAGTCCTTCCTTACTAAACAGGTGAATGAATGAATGAATGAATGAATGGACAGCAAGGGGGTGCAACGATCCACCTGGAGGTCAGAAGGGGAACCAACAGCGTCTCTGGGGCTGGAGCCAGGCACTGGCAGAAGCTGTGGAGAGGCGGCCCTGGGCCCGAGGCATGGGATCCTGACCAGATTCCCTGGAACCAGGATGGCCTCCAGGTAAACACCACGCAGTACATCTCTGACAGAAGGCTTGGCAGCCTCTCTCACTGTCACCAAACCTACCTTCCCTTCCTTCACTTGCTTGAGCTTCACAAATGTCTCTACTTACCTAATGGCCACAAACGCCATGATTCGTCTCTAGAAGTACGTAAATCACTTAAGTAATTGACGGATAAACACAAGATGGTGACCTCACGTTAACTCCTACAAATGTTTCTATTTAAGAAAAATACGAGACATGCAGGCCATCCGGTGAGCAAAAGGGAAAAAGAATCGGGTCAAAGGGCTCATCAGCTTTCCCTCTTTAGGGCTTCTGTGGGGTCCACCAGTCCCAGCGTGTCCTTACCTCGTCTATTTTGGACTGCCGACAAGGGAAGGAAAACGTGAATCCCACAGGTAATTTCTTGTCCTTGATTTTCTTCTTCTCCATGAAGTCTCCCAGGCACTCGGCGACGTGATCGAAAAGCTAAAGAAAGCGCAAGAGCAGTCAGGACGGGGACAGGGGACAGGGGACAGGGGACCGGGCATTTCAGGGAAAGAGGTAAACAATTCCCTCTGCAAGAGGGAAATGAGCGCCCCTCTGGGAAAGCCGCACTGGCTGTGAAGGCTAGAGAAAGAGTCCCTTACAAGGAGACCTCCCTGCCGGCCAGCACAGCTCAGGAAGCGGTTCCAACCCTTTCATCGGGACCGGCCCATGGGCGGTCATGGTCTGCCTAACTGGGCGCTGAAGAAATTTTAAAATAAGAGGAAATCACCGCACCCTCCAGAAGGCACAGGCAGTGGTCTCCATGGCCCCCTCCCAGGTGGGGCATTTTCCGGCCCCTTCCCTGTATCTGTATCCCTGTCTCCCGCCGTCTGTGTAAATTCCCAACGCTACGGGAGGGTCACAGCCTCTAGCCCACCTGAGCGATTCAGCAATCTTCAGACGGTCATACTTTTACTCTTTCCTGAAGCGTGACACGCACACGTGGAAAAGCGCACACATCCTTGAGGCGCAGAGTTCACGGATTCTCAAAGGCTCGCCCGCCTGTGTCACCAGCACCCAGACGCCTCCCTCACGTCCCCTGCGGTCACTGCCACCACCTAACCCCACAAGGGCAGTCGGCAGCCACTCTGACTTCCAGCACTCTGGATTGGTTGTGCTGCTTTTCTGTCACACATAAATGCAACAAGGACATGTTCTTTCACTGGGCATTATGTGTCAGAGAATCGTCCGGGCTGAGGTGTGCCTTTAGAGACCATTCGCTCTCACTGCTGCATAGGATTCTGTGGTATGAACACACCACGATTTGTTCAGTGGATTTTAGTTTTAGTTTGTCTGCTCCACAACACATTGCCTGGGGTAAACACACGCATCTTAGAATCCACTGGAAAGAACACAGAACGCTGTTTCCCTACCCTCTGTATGAATACTGTCCATAATGGAAGGCTCACCACCTCCTTTAAGCCAACCTTTTAGGATCAAATACCTCCCCTTGTCTCAAATGCATCCAGAATCAGGGTGGCTGGGTGGCTCAGTCGGTCAAGCATCCAACTCTTGATTTCAGCTCAGGTCATGATCTCACGGTTCAAGAGTTCGAAACCCATGTCGGGCACACTGATAGTGTAGAGCCTGCTTGGAATTCTCTCTCTCTCTCTCTCTCTCTCTCTCTCTCTCTCTCTTTCCCCCCCCTCCCTTTCTCTCTCTCTCTCTCTCTCTCTCTCTCATGCACACACACACACTAAATGAATAAACTTTAAAAAAATAAATAAATAAAATACAATGCATCTAGAATTGAATATAATGTTTCATATGTGTTCTGAACACAGGAAAGCTTAGTGGAATGAAGAACCTCCCTTTTCCTTAGCTCTATACCTTCATTAATGTAATCAAAGTATACATACGCTCTTTGGGGCACCATGCCACAGTCTAGGTCACCCTCTGTCTTTTTCACATGGCTGTTATTACACTAGACCTCCCTCATGTACAGGATTGACACAGCTACAGAGCTTCTAGAAGGCCAGAAGAAGGCAGTGTTGGCAGAGCTAACCACATGGTCACAGGAAGCAACCCCAGCCCGTGTACCCAGACAAGGCTATCTTCCCAAAGGCTTTCCTTGCAGGGATATCCTTGAGAGGGGGCCAGAAGTCATTATTCCTATTCCCCAACTTCCCCCAGATGCTCCCGACCTAGCTCTAAATTCTGACTTTCCTGCCAGCGTGAAGGAAAACCTGCCGATTCTGATCTAGGAGCCTCTGTCCCTGAGTCACTATTACTCAGACGATGGCTGCAGCCAGTGAGTCCGACTAAAGAGACACATGACCACCTTCCCTGGAGAAGCCCAGCTAAGCTTCCTGCGACCTACATTTCCAAGTAATATAAACCCATTCCTAAGTCCGTCAGCAAGCCCCGCGTCATCGGCTGTCACAAGCTCCAGGCGTCCCTGTGGCCCTCAACCGAGAGGGCTGGGTGAGAGGAAGGCAGGCTGCAGGCAGGAAGGAGCAGGGAGAATGCAGGCTGCAGGAACGGATTCGCACGGGGGAGGCGCTGTAACCAGCTCCCAGACCCAAACGGAACACAGCCACCCCCAAGGGCTCTGTCGAGAAGGAAACGCCGCGGTTGTGAAACGCCCACAGTTCCAGGAGCCACAAGCCTGCTCAAAGAGACAGGAAGCCACCGCCACACTAAGTATGCTTGTGACCAACCAGGCGGGGAAGTTACCCGGCCTCGCTGGCCTCAAAATTTCAGGGTCTAAAAAGCACTATTTTCCCCCTCCTAACAACATGATCATGATTTTAAAAATCCCCACACGGAAATTCAGTTTCTCCAGTTGAAAATGGCAAACAATGACTAAAACAAGAATTTAAACATTTATCATTCAAAATTCCCAAAGCTAAGTGATGTTTTAAGAAAGGCTGCATTTATGCTTCCAGACTTATTAAAGCTTAAAGCTGAACTGAGCCTTTGGGATACCGTGTGTGTGTGTGTGTGTGTGTGTGTGTGTGTGTGTGTGTGTGTGTGCGCGCGCGCGCCAGAGAGGAGGGGGAGAAAAAGATAAAGCAAATCTGGATGAGGGCATATAGGGGAGCTCTTTGTGCTTATCTTAAAACTTTTCTATAAGTTTACTATTATTCTAGATAAAAGTGTAAAACTCTATTTAAATTCCTGCACATTACAGAACGTGGAATCACAGCCCCACGAATTCAGGACTGTTCACAGACTGTGAGTCCGGGCACAGTGGGGCCCTTGGCCTCCACCCTCCAGGATGGTCAGAGATCTCAGAAAAATGGGCCACTAATACTTATTTCTAACTTCAAACCAAACTTCTGGAGGAGAGTTTCCTGTTTCATCCTTATTCTCAACTGCCAACCTTCTTCTTCATCCCCTGGGCCCTCCTCCTTGCCCACAGCCCTCACATTTCCTCACCATCAAAAACTCTCGATAAAGACAATAAAGACAAGACCCAGCCTGAGGGTGTTCCACATTGCTAAAACAGAAACATCTGGAGCCGGACTGCCTGGGTGCAGACCCCAGCTCTATCACTTATGAGCTGTGTGACCCAAGGGGCTGGTCACTTGACATCTGAGCCTCAGTTTTCTCATCTGTACAATGGGGAGAATGATGACATCTGCCCCAGAGGGTCACTGCGATGGCTAAAGGAGTCACTCCACGCAAAGTGCTTACAGCAGGGATGTGGACCTAACGAGCATCATGGAAGTATTGCTGTAAGAACACACGACCGTTACCACCATTATCACCATCCTCGTCACCTTTTCTTTGCAGACCGCAGACCGTTTGAAAGGGGAAGAGGAAGAGACAGACAGCAGGAAACAAAGTGATCCTGGAGCTGAGAAGACAGAGACAGAGGCTGGGACAGAGGAGGTCCTGCGGGCGCCGGAAGAAGGAAGTCACTGGGCAAGTGAATATAGCCAGTGGGCACCCTCTTGACAAGCCCTGCTCCTCAAAGGTGAAGTCACACAGCACCAGGAATGTCTTGGCCCAGGGAGAGAGTCCTGATGGTGAGGGCACCAAGCAGACACGGCTTGACCCCGGGACGTGGGGAACAGACAGTAAGAGGTCGGTGCTGCCAAGCGCAAAGAGCGGGACCCAAGGCGGGGCTGCGGGCCACCTGCACAAAGGAATAATGAGCAGCCACTGGGCGGGGTTCGGGGACCCAGCAGCTGGCAGCCCTCAGGCCCACCTCGGACGAATGGGCCAGTTTGTGCGGCCGAGTAGGGGAGGCACGGGCAGGGGAACCTCCAGGCACGGCCATCCGGTGAGTGATACACTCGTTTCAGTGGCCGGCTGAGCAGCGGTTCATCTCTTCTGGCGTCTTCTTCAATGCTCTCCCTGACACGGTCAGACAAGCTCTGACCCCAGACCCCCAGGAGCAGGTCAATGGCTGGGATTAGCCCTTTTCTCTCAGACCAAAAATAAAACACAACAAAAAAACGGCAGGCAGCTTGCTCTAGGACCCACCCGCGTTAATTCAGAAACAACACGGTCAAGAGGAGTCAAGAGGAGAAGGCTCCTGGGTCTCATCTCAAAGTCCAGCTCAGAACAAATGGGTTTTCTGGAGAACTTAGTCATGAACCTTGACGTGAACACACCCTTCCTAAAGCAAATATTTGGCAAGCTCTGAATACATATCCTGAGCAGCAGCCATGACTCAGAAGGCAAGCAACAGGCTGCAGGAGCCAGTATATCTACAGGCCCACGGCAGGAGCGGCTCCCGGGGACAGGCTAACGGGACACCAAATGACGGAAAACCGTGACCACCGGGTCCTCAGTGAGCTAGGCCCCACCACTCACCACAACCAGACAGACGGGACAAGGGGAACGGGCCCTTCTGATCATGCCCACAGCCCCTTTGCCAGCTAAGGAAGGCAGCCCTTCCCGGGGGGGCCCCATGAAAAGGAGGGGCCTCAGGTATCAAATGTGAGGGAAGGGGGTGGTGACATTCTGTACCAAGGACTCTTTAGGAGGCTATTAAATCCGGTAGCCAGGAGCCCCTGACTAGCCCTAGGGCCATGAACTCAAATGCCTGCTGCCGCACAAGGTGACAGCCACACCCGGGGAGGCCTGGGCCCCTGGTGAGCTGGGTGAGGAGGCCAATGCCTTGGAAGAAGGGGCGTTTTCACCCACGGGCTCTGCTAAACCTGCGCTGGGGAGCCAACCCCAGGATCCTTAGAGAATGAACACATTTACCCACAGAGCTGCCGGGCTCCCTCCTCACACCTTCCACACTGTGCAAGTCCCAGTGACCCTCTCCCAGCCACCAGTTTACCCAGATGGTGGACTCTCTTTAGGTGGTCAAACCCTTCCACCCAAGAGCCCCTCTCCACGTGAATCTACAAGGGACTCCTTCCAGGAACTCAGATACCAATGCTTGGGGGTCTGGCTCCTGCATGGGAGCGCACTGGGGCTGATGGGAAGGGAGCGGGGACCCACCTGGCTTCCACTGCCGTGCACGATGTTCTCCGGGGTGTCATAAATCTCGGACTCCATGTGAACATTCTGGTTTTGCTCATGATTCACTTGCACCCTCAGAATTCGAAAGGAAGACCCGCCAAGATCCAGGGCAATGAAATCTCCCTTTTCTGTTTAGGGAGACAACAGGTATCGCATCAGGTTCACGTCACAGGAAGACCCCGCACTTTTGCCAGCTTCTCGACAGGGTCTGCATCCCCCATGCAAACCTCATCCAACCACTGCCCTGGCTGGAAAGTGGGCCAGGGAAACCCTCCCAGCCTGGCATGCAGCAGGCCAGCTCCACGCAGAGGAACGCAAGTGCTGAGCTCTGTACAAAGCCTCGCTCCAGCTTCTCTAATTCCCTATCCTTCCTCCCAGACAGCACTGTTACCTATAAAATAAAAATAAAAACATGGGGCGCCTGGATGGCTCAGTCGGTTAAGCATCTGACTTTAGCTCATGTCATGGTTCATGAGTTCGAGCCCCACGTTGGGCTCTGCGCTGTCAGCATGGGGCTTGGGATTCTCTCTCTCTCTTTCTCTCTCTCTCTCTCTCAAAATAAACTTAAAAAGAATTTTTTTAATTAAAAAAAAATAAAAACAGCATTTCAACTCAGAGAAAACCCCACATCTGAGGTCCACCCCATGCCTTGAGTTCCTTCCACGTTATGGAGTTCACACCTCCACTTATTCCCCTGGGGGATTTTTTTTTTTAATTGTGGTAAAATATAAAATTTACCACTGCAACCATCCTTAAGTAGCATTAAATACAACGTTGTGCAACCATCACCTCCATCCATCTCCAAAACTTTTCATCACCCCTAACAGGGTCCTGAAGCTCTAGAACCATTAAACAGTCACTCCCCACTCCCCATCCCCTAGCCTCTGGTCACCACCTCTCTACCTTCTGTCACAACAGATTTGCCTCGTCTAAAGATCTCACAGAAGTGGAATCACACAATACTTGTCCTTTTGTGTCCAGCTTATTTCGCTCTGCATAGTGTCTCAAAGGTTCATTTTGTAACAGGTGTCAGAGTTTCCTGCCTTTCTGAGGCTGACATTCCACTGTATGTAGCTACGTTTGTTTATCCATTCACCTGGCAGTGGAAATTTGTATTGTTTCTACCCAGGGAATGTTTTTAGCAGAAGTCCCTCTTCGTCACTTAAGAGTAACTGGCTTGATATAGTTACATCCCTCAGGTCCGATATGTGCAGTAACTGGTGTGTGCCTGTCTTACAGATGATAAGACTGTGCACTGAGGCCACCAGACAGCAGCAAGGGAGGTAGCATGGGAAGGGTCACAAACCATTAAGCCACCATTTAACTTTCTCTACCCTGTTTCTCATTAGTAATTCTCACACATGCTTCCAAAATATTGGTTAAAATCTGTTAATTTTATTACTGATCCCCACTGTCCTAATGTATATTACACCAGGGGGGACAGCCACCCCTGACATCCTGAGCCCCACTGGTCCCCTAAAGTCTCAGTCCTATAGCAGTATAAATACAAGGCTGCTTGGGATCTCATTTTCCTAGGGAAGCATCCATAATACTCCATTTTTAGGTAACAGCACTATGGAGATATAAATCACCTTATAATTCACCCACTTAAAGTATGCAATTCAATGGTTTTTATTTTTTTTAATGTTTATTTATTTACTTTTTAAAATTTTTTTTTCAACGTTTATTTATTTTTGGGACAGAGAGAGACAGAGCATGAACGGGGGAGGGGCAGAAAGAGAGGGAGACACAGAATCGGAAACAGGCTCCAGGCTCTGAGCCATCAGCCCAGAGCCCGACGCGGGGCTCGAACCCACGGACCGCGAGATCGTGACCTGGCTGAAGTCGGACGCTTAACCGACTGTGCCACCCAGGCGCCCCAAATGTTTATTTATTTTTAAGACAGACAGAGAGTGAGCAAGGGAGGAGCAGAGAGGGAGACACAGAATCTCAAGCAGGCTCCAGGCTCTGAGCTGTCAGCACAAAGCCTGATGCGGGCTTGAACTCACAAAATGCAAGATCATGACCTGAGCTGAAGTTAGACACTTAACCGACTGAGCCACCCAGGCACCCTTTCAATGTTTTTTAGTATATCCAGTTATACAACCATTGCCACAAACCAGTTTTAGAATGCTTTCATCACCTCAAAAAGAAAATCCTTCACTGCTTCTCAAGCAAGCCCCTCTCTCCCCATTGTCCTTAACAACCATTAATCTACACTCTGTCTTCACAGATTTGTCTTTTCTGGACAGTTCCTGTGAATGGAATCCCCACAGTAGGTGGCCTCTTGTGACCAGCCTCTTACACTTAGCAAAACATTTCTAAGGTTCATCATGTTTTCACATGGCCAAATAATAATCCACCGTATGGATGTACCTCATTTCATTTACCCATTTGTCTGTTGGTGGGGTTGTTTCTACCTTTTGGCTATCACAAATAACACTGCCATGAATATTTCTGCACGAGTTCTTGTGTGGCCCTGTCTTTATCTCCTTCGGGTATACACCTAGAAGAAGGGTTGCTCTGTCAAATGTTTAACTTTCTGAGGAACCATCACTGGTTTCTGAAGCAGGTCCACCAGCTTCCATCCCACCAGTGATACGTGATGTTTCCAATTTCTCTACATCCTCAATACTAATTATCATCTCATTTTATTTTGACTTGCATGTCTCTGGCTAATGACAATGAGCACCTTTTGTCAGGTGCTTCTTGGCCATTTTTCACGTTCTTTGGAGAAATGTCTATTCAGATTCCCTGGCTTGTTTGAAAACTTGGGTTGTCTTTTAAGTGTTGAGTTGTAAGAGTTCTTCATGTTCTAGACGTGAGCACCTATCAGATACATGACTTGTAAATATGTTCTCTCATTCTGTGGGTTGTCTTTTCACTTTTTTGATGGTGACTTATGAAGCATAAAAGTTGTTCCTTTTAACAAAGTACAACGTATCTATTTTCTTTTGTTGGTTGTGCTTTTGTGGTCATATCTGAGAAGCCACTGCCAAATCCAGGGTCACAGAGATTCGCACCTAGGTTTTCTGCTAAGAGTTTTACAGTTTCAGCTCTTAAATGTAGGGATTTGACCCATTTTGAGTTGATTTTTCTCTACAGTGTGAGGCAGGGATCCAAGCTACTTCTTTTACACGTGGATATCCAGTTGTCCCAGTGCCATTTGCTGAAAAGATTGTTCTTTCCTTCATTAAACAGTCTTGGCACCTTTGTCAAAGATCAAGAGACCAAAAAAGGGTTTCTGAACTCTCAATTCTTTTTTTTCCCCCAATTTTGAGACATAAATGACATACTGAACTCTCGATTATGATCCACTGATCTATTATCCTGTGTCAGTACCATGGTGTTGTGATTAACGTGGCTTTGTAGTAAAATCTGAAACCTGGAAGTAAAAGTCCTCCAACTTGGTTCTTTTTCAAGATTGTTTTGGCTATTCTGGGTCCCTTGGGGTTTTTTATTTTATTTTTTAAGGTAATAGTTAAAAAAAAAAAAAAGCTTGTATTTGATGCACGTTTGTATCTGATTCCACCAACCTGTAAGCTGACACACTACTCTTTCTGGAACGTAGAACGGTGTCTGACACACGGTAAGAGCTCAACAAATACTTGGACTAATGCGGATGGGAAAGGAGTCAATGAACGAACCAAATGGTTGAATTTTCACCATTCTTACCCTTCCAAGTTCCTGGAGGGAAAAACCTGGGCTTCTGTGCGTCTATCCATGGCACCCAGGGGAGCTTAATAAATGCTTGGTAGCTACTCAATCATGGGGGTTGGTGGCCCAGTCATCCATTCATTCATTCATTCATTCACTCAAGGAACCCCTGCTTATTGCTCATTAAGCACAAAGCAGTGATGCACCACTGGTTGGCTGGTTTCTTAAATAACAGAATTACGGAGAATTATTCGTCTATATCATACAATTCATCCATTTTCTTTTTTTTTTTAAGTTTTTGTTTTCATTCCAGTTCTTTACAAGTCACCCGTTTTAAAGTGTAGAATTCAGTGGTTTTTAGTATATTTACAGGGTTGTGCAACCATCACCACCATCTAATCTTAGAACATTTTCAGCATCCCCAAAACAAACTCTGTACCCACGAGCAGTCACTCTCCACTTCCTGCCAACCCGTCTTATCCACCAACAACCATGAATCTGCTGTCTGCCTCTACAGATGTCCCTACTCTGGACATTTCGTATCAACAGGTGGTCTCTGATGGATGCTTCTTTCACCTACTACACATGACTTGCTTTCAAGGCTCAACTGTGTTGCAGCAGGTATCAGCACCTCATCCCTTTCTATGACTGAATTATAGTCCGTAACATGAATATACCACACGATGCCACTGGTCTGAAATTGCTTCTATGGTCCAAAGGCAGCAGACCAAGGGAGAATGTGGGAAGTAGGGGGTCACAGATTTGTGGGGAATTCTGACCCTGACTTTGTGGGTTGTTCAAATCAGTTTACAATTTCCTTTGCTGCTGCTTCTTTTTTTTTTAAGGTTTTATTTTTAAGTAATTTCTACACCCACCGTGGGGCTCAAACTTACAACCCCAAGATCAAGAGTCATGCGCTCTACTACTGAACCAGCCGGGAGCCCCTGTTTATAGAGTTGTCTTACAGCTCCCATCAGAACCCTAACCCCCATGGTGCTCACTGCTACCCAGTTAAAAAAAAAACTGGCTCCAGCATGAGGTAGCTCCTCCCTGGAGGATGAATCACTAAAATATCGAAAGTACTTTATTTTACCCTCAGTTAACATGCATCGAGCCTTTCCGCACTCCAGGTGTTAAGTGCTTCATACGCATCATTTTAAACTCCCTCAAGCCTATGCGGTGGGTACTGCTGTGATATCCCCATTTTGCAGGTAAGCAAGTAAAGGCTGGGAGGGGTTAAGCGATTAGCCCGAGCACCCAGCCGGTAAGCGGCAAAGCCAGGACGTGAACTAGGGTTCAAACCGCCTGCTGGACAGACCTCGTGGACGAGGATCCCCACGGCTGACGACAGTGGAGTGAGGCTTTAGCACGGTAAGAACGGCTACCTTTCTTGCTGGGGTTCCTCAACATCCATGACTCCTTGCAGCTTTTGGTTTTGTTCTGCTTTGTTCTTACACGGATTTTTACATCA